TATTAATAAATAATATATTTTATAAATATTTATATTATATTATATTTTATGAATTTGTAACAAATAATGAATTTTTGACGATGTGGATTTAGTTCGATTCTCGACGTTGATGAAAAATGAACAATCACGTGAGATCCTAATAAATTTGCGGAAAGAATCTGTTAATGAGAAAATTTTCATAGCATTTTAGCTAACAAACGTCTTATCAGATCTAATTGATCGGAGATATGAGAGTTCACGAGATTTCTTTTTTTTTTTTTTTAATTAGAAATTCTTTATGTAATATTCAGATGCAGAGATGATATTAGAAAATCAAACTAGCAATGAAAACTGAAGAAATATATTTTTTATTTTACTTTAATATCGTCTTAGTTAAAATTCCTCGGATTTCTCGGGATGTCCAATTCCGTCATACATCACTGATCCCTCACATTACACGCTACACTCACACACACACACACACACACACACACACACACATATACGTGACCTCTCCTCGATACCTATGCACACCTATGGAACAGGTAAAACGACGCCACACAAATGCATACGCAACCAAGAATTCTGTATATGTTTGTCTGTGTACGTGTATATGTATTCAAACAGAGAAGGAAGAGAACATGGCGTACCAGTACGCACATAAACACACACGATCAAGTATCGCATTATCGTCTGCAAATAAAGGAAAAGAACACGTAGCAGTTACACGTATAAATATCGTATCACACGTTCCTGTTTTGCAAAGTGATGTATGACGAGATTGGACATCTCGAGATATCCGAGGGATTTTAAACGAAATAATATTAAATTAAAATAAAATAAAACACTCCTATCTTCATCTCTGATTCCATGTGTGTGTCTTATGAATATATAAAGAATTTTCGATTAAAAAAAAAATCTCCGGTAAATTGGGTGAAATCTGATAAGACGTTTATTAACCAAAATGTTAGAAAAATGTTGGATAGACAGATGGGGAGACAGAGACAGCGACAACGCGCACACAAAGGCTCCGAAACACGCTGCGCCAGTTCTACACGCGCGCGAGTCAAGAATCGAGCCTCGTGTATGTGTGCACGCAGGCAGGTAGTAGGAAAAGAATATGGCAAGCATTCACACTCACCCGCACAACACACCTTTCACATAAACGGGCAGGATGCAAAGAACACGCCGCACCAGTTTACACGTGACACGCACGCGCGCTCGCAAGTCAAGAATCGTGCGTCCGCGTGTGCAGGAATACACGCAGGCGTTCGCACACACACACATATATACAGGCAGCCCAGGCAGGTGAAAAAAGATATCTGTGCGTGCGTGCGCGTGCACAGGTAAGAGCGACGAGCAGTGCGGCGCGACACTCGTCCGGGGACCTCAGTCAGTGAGGTGGTGTTCACCGCCGTGTGTGGTGTCTCCTCGTGGTTTTCGCCTCCGCCTCTTCTTCCTTTCCCACCTCCTGCACCTGCCCCGTCGTCCTCAGGTAGCATCAGGTAGACGCGGATGTACTGTCCTTGCGGACGAGGACCTTAGGAATTGCTCTTTCGCTCGCTGCCTGTCTCTCTCTCTCTCTATCTCGGGTATCGGTGGTAGCCTTGACGGGCGCCAGCCAGACTGGACATCAGGCGCTTAAACCCGGCCTGGCGAATACACGTGCGTGGAGAGTCGAGTGAAAGAGATACTCCGGATTCTCGGGTTCGCGAATTCGTTCCCTGAGGAAAATTCGTTCGCCAATCGCTTTCCCTCGCGGTAAATTTGAGGAAAAGGACAATATGTGCGATCGGTGATCCTTGGTGTAACGTGGTGGCAACGCGAGTGCCGAGGATGTCGACGACGGACGTGGTCCGCATCGTGCAGCAGGGAGCCGCCGCTGACGAGGACCAGAGGTAATCTCTCTTTCTTTCTTTCTTTCTTCTCTTTCTCTTCCCTGAGATTTATTTCGGCAGGTACGTAAACTTTACGCGGTGAAGGGCCTTTCCCCGAGTCGGGAATCGGTGAAATATGATGCGCGTGTCAAGGGTAGTGATAAAGATTCTCGTTACAGTGAAGATTATATTTATCTTTCAGTCTCTAATACCTATATGTCGGTCTTTTGAGGTAGAAGAGAATTCGTGAGAAAAAATACAGTTAGATTAGCCCGTTGTTTATTGTATTATTGTCAATATTCTAAGGATCTGAAAAGAGAAAGCTGGAAGACATTTAAGGATTGCCAGAAAAATTAGATCCTCTAGATACATGTGCTGCAGTTTTAACTATCGTCTGGTTCACATAACAGGTTTGATATTTTTTTAAGGAAAATTACGATAAAACCATAAAGTTTCTCGTTCACTTTGCAATGAGATAAAAAAAAAATGGTAAACACTATGACGCTCTTGAAGGTGCTCGTTGCGAGTAACAGTCGTGTCAGATTTGGACATCTGATCGTGCGTTTCGTATTGCAGATGAATGGCAGGTAGTTAAGAGCGACGGGAATTTTTAACTTGTGAATAAGACGAGGAGAAAATGACGGAGCGAGGAAAAGTTTCATAACGGATAAACGGGAAGAAACCGAATAGATTTATTCCAATTATAATATTACAAATATTATGGTATTTGAGGATGAATTATTTAATTGATTGTTAAAAAGATTATTCTCTTTGTTTTATCTCCCTTCTTTTTCAAAAGAATGCAACATTGTTAAATGTAATATGCGTGGTATTTCAATTTATTATTTATGCCTCTTCTGTGATTTATCACTATTATTGCTTAATTATTTTTGCTATTTTTATTTATGTCATATTTTTTATATTTATTGTCGTATAGATAAAAATGAATAAACGGGAAGAAACCGAATTCCGAGATATTTATTAGCGCGATAGATTTATGTCAATTATGGTATTGCAAATATTATGGTATTTGAGAATGAATTATTTAATTGATTGTTAAAAAGATTATTCTCTTTGTTTTATCTCCCTTCTTTTTCAAAAGAATGCAACATTGTTAAATGTAATATGCGTGGTATTTCAATTTATTATTTATGCCTCTTCTGTGATTTATCACTATTATTGCTTAATTATTTTTGCTATTTTTATTTATGTCATATTTTCTATATTTATTGTTGTGTAGATAAATGTCGTATTAGTTGGGAATGTTTTCTTGCATGCTGATATTTTCTTAATTATATAGTCTGTTCTTTTGACATATATAAACGAAGCATTTCAACATTGCACTCGCACGAAAGATATTTTATTCGAAAACCGTCTGATCTATTAATTTAGCCATCACTAATTAGCATATATGAATCGTTTTGTACGCTATTGTTAGCGTTATTACCGGTGAATGCGTTATGCATATTTCTCGGGAATCACGTATGGTACACGCGATATGATATACATATGTATAGATGCTTGTTCTTCAGCATTTCGCTCCAATTCGCGAAAAAGAAAATGTTTCAAGCTTGAGAAAATTCACAATCTTACATCAATTATTGTTATAGAACTTTAATAAATTAATTTTCTTCTTTTTATAGATTTTTATAGAAAGTTTTATATATATAAATTCTATCTAATTCTTTCTTTTTCTTCGATAACAATTTTAAAGATATTAAAAAAAATTCCAAAACGTGTTTTATTTTTAAAAGATTTTATTTTCTGAAATCATCTCTTAGCTAAAAAAAATTATAATTGAAAAAAATTAAATACTGTAATTTTGTCAAAAAGAGTGACATAAAAATTTGCGACCCAATTTTCTTTTTTGAATTTGACTGAATCGATTATGAATTCGACTTTTATTTATTCATACATCTTGCAACATAAGCGCTTTATCAGCGTTATTTGCGTTACACTTTCTACTTGTTATCCGTGGCAGTAAAGTCTGATGAACAGGCAATCACTTGACAGCGACTGTCAAATACTGTCGTCAAATTATCATCGGGAATAAGACATTCTCGCGAAACCTGTTTCGACGTTATCCGGAATTGTGTCGTCTAGTAAGCAAAGTATCTCATTCGCTTTATTCTATTCGCCAAGCAGATTATGAATGTATTTATTCCTTTCCGTTACTTGCTTCGGTAAATACGAATCGTTATCTACCACCAAGTTACGATCTTAATTTCTCACGCTAAAAGTAGGACTAGTATGTGTAGTGTCAAAAGTAGCTTTAATAATGACAATGTTTATATTTAGAAAAATGCAAATTATTATTATTATTATTTTTTTTTTTTTCATACAGAATCAAACATTTTTTAATAAGATGTGCACAAAAAAATTTATTTTTATTTCTTTTGGAACAAATTAATTTCGAAACGGTTTGTTGATGTTTCTTGGATATTCAAAATTAAGTTGCAATTGTTTATAAATGTGATTTATATTCAGGTACTTGCTATCAGGAGGTGTGGAAAGATCGAATCCACATGTCGTGCACCTGTTGCACGAATGACTGTTCAAATCGAGATCGTTGCGTATTCGCGAAATCATCGAATCATTTACAAATAATCTTGAGAACGCGCGCGGATAGGAAATCTTTGAAAAGCATAATTGTTTGATCATTTAGAAGACAGAAATTATATTTCGAAGTTGTTGAAATTGTTGAAACTATTTATCGATGAAAACTTAATGATCTTTTCGATGACACAGATATCGAAGAATTGTCTATCAATATAAGATTATCGATAAATTATTATGTCAATAGATTATGAGATTAGAGAGGTGAACGTAAAAAAAGCTATGTATATATATATATATTTGCTCCCTCAAGCATTTCACGGAATTTCAACAGCGGATAATCTTCCGCTTAAACGTTTCTTCGTGGCGGAACGAGCGTGTAATTAGACACATTCTTGCATCTCTTCGTTTATAATGCCACTCCGACGTGTAATTTGCTAATATTGCAGCATAGGTTGCAATTTCAGCTGTTCGCTTACCACACATTTCGTGCTCTCTTATGGGCGTTTAATTGTTTAATATCGAAAATCGCTATTTCGCGCCTCCACTTAATGTACGAAAGCGATCCGAGGGTCGCAATCTTGACGATAAACTCTCTCATTTAAGCTACCCACGCTCGATCGTAGACCCGCGAATAAATAACGGCGAGAGAGAAAAACTAAAATTATATTTAAAATTGTTTCGCAACGTCATGATTGGCGTCGATCAATAAGCAGGCTTAACCGTCCTCTCTTCAATCATCCCGCATTAGATTTCTTGTACGGAGGATGGAAAAAAAGAGCCACGCGTTCGGAGAGGGAAATTTCTCAGAGGAAACTCTCTTGACTTGACATTAGCCGGTAGAATTAATTTCCCCTCGTGTATCTCTCCTCGTCTTTATGAGACGAGATGGGTAGCAGGGCTATTTACCTTCGCGACGACGAAGAAATTGAGAGAAGACGGCGTAGGTAAGGCGGCATATAAAGACACCGCGAAAGACACACAGATACACGCCATATTAGTCACGTTTCTTGATGGAAATACTGTCGTCCTTCTCTGTCTCTCTTTCTTTCCTTTCTCTCGTCCTCCTCGCTCTTCCACCAATGTCAATGACTGCTCCCTTGGGGCTAGCTATGACCCCCCGTGTGAACGAGTCTCGTCTTTCTGTGTCTCGCGGAGCCGGAATGGCGCTTTCACACGAAGGTGGAAAGAGCGAGCACAATGTGTGTATATATCCGACGCGTCGTTATATCACGCGAATAAACGTGAGTTATATTAGGCTGCGAATATCCTAGACTCTGCGAACACATCGCGTTAAGAGGCCCTCATTAGGGAATGAGCGCCTTTGAAGAACGTTTCTTCTCTAAACAATAGATTGCCTTTCATCTCAAATTCACCCATGAAACTTATCATATTAGTCGAATGATGTGTACGATACATAACAGTGGTTAAAGAAGAAATGAAAATGTCAAAGAATTAAGAAGTTTATCAGGAAAGAAATAAACGAAAAATAGAATAAAAAATGGATAATAATATCTGAAGTATATGAAGTGTAGAAATATATGAAGTATATAAGTTATGAAGTACATGAAGTAAATTTTGTATTTGTCTGTAATGAAGATACAACATGCACGTTTTGGATAATAAAAGATGCTTTTACCGCTTCATTCGAGATCAAAGGATGGAAAAATTGAGCGTAGGAACGCGGAAATCCGCGCGTGTCCGGTCCGAATAGGCTTGCGCGGATTACTTGGAGAACGGACCTTAAACCTTAAGGTTGAGTAACGGTTCTTCCGGCGCGCTCATGTACACACATACCTTACCTTACCTACCTACCTACCTACCTATCGTGGTGTCTCTCTACCAGGGAGAAGGGGGAATCGCGATTTCTGTGCTGAAGCGTCGCGAGCGATGCAACGAAAAGTCCTGGCAAACCTGTCCCTGGTCCCGCTTCTTCGCGCGTCGACCCAGGCAGGGTCGACGCACCGAACGTGACGATATTTTGACGTGCCTGAGGCGGACTTCGCTGTCGCGAGACTCGACCCGGCACGTGACTCGCGCTCGATTCGCAGTTGCGCAAGTTAAGCCGAGCCGCAAAGGTGTACAGTAAATGAAGTATAGGCAAGCTGAAGAAATACGTTGATCTGAACGGAGCGGGACAAGTATTGTCCAAAAAGTCAGAGCTTCTTTCGAAGATATTAAAGAAAAAAGAAAAAGTTTTTGTCGAAGAAATATTTAAAAGAGCCTGGCGCTGTGTGTGAAGTAGTACAGATACTACAGGGTGTTCGGTCCCCAAGAAACATATCGATTAGCAATTAGACGCACCGTTACGGTACAGCATCCGCAACGGGATTCCGGTGATCAATGAGACGACAGGAATCTGTCCTGTCTCGGTCAAACTTCCTTCGCGATTGCGAAGGCATGCAAATCACCTTCATTCATCTAGGACGCTTCTTCAGATAATTATTTATCTTTCCTATAATTCT